CACACCCACTCAACGTTCGGTTAAACGAGGAGCTCTTTTCCGCAGAGCGCCGCAGAGGCTGAGACCGCACCCGGGCCCAGGGGGAAGCGCCCCTTCGTGCACAACGCTGGGGGGTGTGGGCCCTTTACCGGCGCCTCAGTCTGTCGACGGGGGGGGGGCACGCCGCGGCGGGCGGCCGCGCGAGGACGTGCGCGGCGCCGCCCTCCTCCCCGCACCACAGCGCGTGCCACTCCGGGGCGAGAGAGCGCAGCTGCCACCCAGGCACCAGCCGCGCTGGAGGCAGCCGGCAAGCCGCCGACTCGAGCGAGCGCAGCAGAGCCGCCCCCCGCCTCGGCTCGCCCTTGCGCCGCAGCCTCGAGGCTCGCAAGCCCGCCGCCGCCTCCGCCTCCGCCTCTGCCGCCGCCGCCGCCGCGCCCGCCGCCTCTGCCGACGCCGCCGTGCCGCCGCCGCCCCCTCCCAGCGTGTGCAGGCCGACTCTCCATCCTTCGAGCTCCATCGGCGAGACTTGATCCGGCGTCGACCCCGCGCCGTCCGCGCCGCCCGCTGCTCCGCCGTCTCGAGCGCCGCCGCCGCCCTCCGTCTCGCACCTTCGCCTCGCGGCATCGAGCCAGCTGCGTAGGCCTGACCCCGGCACGCTGCCTTCGGGCAGCGCGCCGCGCGTGCTGTCGTACGGGTGGCGCCGCCTAAAAGTAGACACACGCCGCGCGCGTCTGGTGCCAATGCTTCTGTTTCAGCCGTCGTGCAGGTGGCGCCGCCTCTGCCGCCGCCGCGCCGGCAAGGAGCGCTCCACGCGCGGGAACGGCAGCGACGTCTGGTGCGTCGGCGGCGGCATCTCGTCACGACGCGCCTCGCTGTGAGCGAGCGGCCGCGTGGGTGCGTCGCGGCGCTGCGGCTGCGCCGACCAGCAGACGTGCCCGCGGGCCGGGTGCGGGAAGCCCCTCGCCGCGTGCGCCTCGCAGATAGCCTACGGGGGCGGTGCCACGCTCACCGCACGAGGGATGGCGGTCGGAGGATCTCCTTCCCGGCAGATCGGCTCCGCGCACCGCGGTCGCCGCCGGCCCGCACGGGCACTTGCCGTCGCAAGGCGGGCAGCGCCAGCGGCGCGAGCCGTGCGCGAGCAGCGTGCGAAGCAGGCGTGGCTGCCACTGTCCGCTGGGCTCGCCCATCCTCGGGACCTACACCAGTCGTGCCAGCAGGCCGTCCAGCAACCCCCCCCCCCCCGTCCAGCAGTCGGGGTACTCTCGGGTACTCTCGGGTACTCTCGGGTACTCTCGGACCGTCTCGTCGGGAGGAAAGACGGCGACGGGCGGCGCCGCCTCCGCCTGCGACACCATCGCGCCAAGCGCCTCGTCGCTCACGGCGGGCGCGAAGAGGTGCCGCACCTGTTCACAGCTCACGGCGTGAAGAGAGGCTCGTGGGCTCGGGAGGCGGCGGGCGCAGCGCGGCTGCGCACGCAGGAGGCGCGGAACTAGGACAGGTCTAGGAAAGGTCTGGGAAAGGTCTGGGAAAGGTCTAGGAAAGGTCTGGGAGAGGGCGGCTGCGCACGCAGGAGGCGCAGACGGCGTTGCGGCAGGAGGAGCACTCGAGGAAGGAGCTAGAGGCGCCGCCCGAGGGCGCGGAGAGGCAGAAGTGGCAGAGGAGGAAGGACGGCTGGCCGCGCGGTGCGAGCGGTGCGAGGCGGAGCAGTGCCGCGGGCAGGTCGAGCAGCGGTCGCGGAGGCGCCGCACCCGCGCCGCCCGCGCCGGCACCCGCGCCGAGGTTTGCGGCCGACAGGGTGGCGGGCGCAGCGGGCGCTGTGGGGTCGGTCGGCGAGCGGCGCGGCCGCTTTAGCGTCGGCGCGTCGCCGTCCCAGTAGCCCCACCGGTGCCCTCGCCGAAGGAACCCCCCCGACGGCCTCGCCGCCGCCTCGAGCCGCGGGGTGACCGCCCTTAGGCTGCGGCGGCCGACACGGCGCACCGCGCGCGCCGCGCGGCGCCGGCCGCTGGAGGGAGTGATAGCTTCGGGCCCCCGCCGAGGTGCCCCGTCCTCCTTGCTCCTCAGCCTCTCCCCCTGTGGGGCGCGGCCCGCCCCCTCCCGCCATGCCGGGGCAATGGCAGCGGCACGCGGCTGGAGCGTCGACAGGGGCCGCCGCCCACCGCTGCAGCCGCCGCAGCCGCCGCTGCCGCCGCCGCCGCCGCCGCCGCCGCCGCCGCCGCCGCCGCCGCCGCCGCCGCCGCCGCCGCTCCGCATCGGCGCTCCGCCGCTGGCGGCCCTCGGCGTGGAGCCGGGGGGGGGGCGGCGGCGGGGGGGCGGTAGGGGCGGCTGCGCCCCGTCCCTCCGGAAGTCGAATCGCAGCGAGCCGTCGGCCGCCCGCTCCATCCTCACGACCCGGTAGAGGCCATCATACCTGGCGGCACGGGCAGTCAGTGAGTCAGTGAGAGTGGCGCGCGACACCTCGAGAGGCCTCGAGAGGCAGAGGAGCGTGGCGGGGTGAGAGAGAGAGAGAGCCCGAGACCCCACACTGGGTTGGTCCACGCACGGAAGACGGACATCAACGCGGACTCGCACGAGGGCACTGCACACGACACTGCACACGACACTGCACACGGCACTGCACACGGCACTGCACACGGGGGCGTTGGGTGCGTTTCGACGGCGGCGGCGCCGCAGCACAGGCGTGCAATAGTTAGAAGGGCAGCCGTGGGGGGCCACCGAGGCCTTCAGAGCAGGGCTACGGCACAATGGAGACAGCGGAAGCGGGGTGCGTGTCCTCTCGAGCGCCAGTCGGAATGCACGGGTCATCTAGGCCACCGTACCGCAAGCCGCAAGCCGGCGCCCACGCCGACTGGAGCCGCTGGCTGCGCACCACGCGCACCGCCGACCCGCGCTCGAGGGCCACCTGAAGGGCGAGCAGGGGCGCGGCGTGAGTGGAAGCCTGCTGCTCCAAGCTGGCAGCTCCCTGGTGCTGTGCGGAGCCAGCAGAGGTGCGCCGACGAGGGGTGTGGCGAAGGCAGTGAGAGGGGTGTGGCGCAGGCAGTGAGAGGGATGTGGCGAAGGCAGTGAGAGGGATGTGGCGAAGGCAGTGAGAGGGGTGTGGCGAAGGCAGTGAGAGGGGTGTGGCGCAGGCAGTGAGAGGGATGTGGCGAAGGCAGTGAGAGGGGTGTGGCGAAGGCAGTGAGAGGGGTGTGGCGCAGGCACTGAGAGGGGTGTGGCGCAGGCAGTGAGAGGGGTGTGGCGCAGGCAGTGAGAGGGGTGTGGCGCAGGGTGGGAGCCTGCAGCCAGCTGTCGTGGACGCGGCCCTCGCCCGCGGCCAAGGTGAAGCGCTGCCCGCGATCCTCGACGCCGCTGGCCGAGGCCGAGGAGGAGGAGGCGGAGGCGGCGGCGGCGGCGGAGGAGGCAGAGAGGAGGACAGAGGTGGCCCCCGCGCGTTCGTCGCCGGCGACGCAGTTCCGCAGCGCGCGGTGCACGCCGCTCTCGCTGAGCCGGCGGCGGCTGCTCCAGCTCGCTCCGACCTGAAGGGAGGCGCCGCCTCGTCAGCGCGACCGCCGCCTGGCGAATCTCGCCCAATCTCGGGTGCTCTCGGGCCATCTCGGAGCGAGCGTGTGGCCCGGCTGCGCTGCGCGCGGAGGCGGGAGTGGCGGGGACGACGGGAGGGGGGGGGCGATGGAGGGGGGTGGAGGGGGTGGGGACGGAGGCGTGGGAGGCGGTGGTGGCGACGGCGGGGGCAGGGGAGGGCGCGGAGGCGGCGCGCGGCGAGTTTGGGAAGGGTGTCTCGGGTGGCATATTTGGAGGAGGGGCAAGAGTCGCCCGGCCGTGCGGGACGACGGTGGTGGCCGAGGGAGGGCCGAGTGGCGGGCGGCGGGGCGGGGCGTGCGGCGGGACAGACCTCTGCGCCGCGCACCGCCCCCGACCAGTCCCCGGCTCGCTGCGGCGCCCTCTCTCCGCCCCGGCGCCCGTCCTCCACCTCCGCCGCCGCAGCCGCGCGGCGGCGCTTGCGGTGCTGCGGCGCAGAAGCGAGGAAGTCGTCGTCGCTGTCGTCGCCACCGCCGCGCCCCAGCCCCGCCTCGTCGTCCTCGTCCTCGTCCTCCTCCTCCTCCTCCTCCTCGCTCAGCACCGCCGCGCGCTGCCTCCTCCGACTGCTCAACGCGCCGCTCCAAACGCCGCCGCCGCCGCCGCCACTGCTCTCGCCGTCGCCGCTGTCGCTCTCGACCGCGCCCTCGCTCGAGCCGCTCGCCTCGTCGGACGAGCTCGCGCGCCGTGCCGCAGCCTGCCGGGCCGCCGCATCCCGTCTCACCCGTTCCAGCTCCGCCCGGCGGCGCCGCCGCTGCTCGTGCTGCCGGCTGCTGCGAGACGCCTCTCCACGGACGGGCGGCGGCTCGGCGGCGGCGGGTGCGGCAGCGGCGCGGAGCCAGGCGTGTGGCGCTTCTGCTCGCCGCCGCGCTGCGTGCAGGCGTGAGGAGGGGATGAGGGTGAGCCGGTGGAAGCGCGGCGAGGGCGCGAGCGGTGCGAGTGGTGCGCACCCCACTCGTCGCCGTCGAGCAGCTCGGCGTCGTCGGAGAGGCACAGCGCGAGCGCGAGGACGTCAAACAGTGGCTCGAAGTCGTGAGTGGCAGAGACGCCCGGCAAGAGCCTCATCCCGCCATCTAAAAAAAAATTCTGCGGAGTTGAGCCAGGAAACATACTCGTTCTGTTGCCATCCCAAACTGTCACTCCCCTTTCTCCCGGCCGGGGCGGGGCGCGCGCGGGGGCGGCGGGTGTGCGGCGAGTGTGCGGGATGTCTGTGGGCCCGAGAGCGATATGCCATGTCCGCCTTGCGTTTGTTTCATAACATCGAAGGGCCATGTGCCCCTCGCTTTGTTTCCTAACATCGAAGGCAAACTCCGCTCAGCCAAAGGCGTAATGGACCAAAAAGCCGCTGAGGCCGCATTTCGAAAAAGAATTTTCGCGCGTAATCGCGAGGAAAAGAATTTGAACAAAACGAATCTCTCTCACAGCAGACAGCAACACCCGACAGCTCAGACAGCACCGACAGCACCAGAGCACCTCGCCTGTCAGACAAGCACCCGACAGCACCCGACAGCACTGACAGCACCTGACAGGAGCTGGTCTGACAGAGGCACCTGACAGTGCCTGACAGTGCCCGACAGCCCGACAGATCACCTGACAGCACCTGACAGCCTGACAGCCAGGGCTCAGAGCTTTCTTGCAAAATTCTTTCTTTGTTTCTTTTTTGTTTCTTTCTTTTTCCCGGAGCTCTCATCTCATCTCTCTCTCTCTCTCTCTCTCTCTCTCTCTCTCTCTCTCTCTCTCTCTCTCTCTCTCTCTCTCTCTCTCTCTCTCTCTCTCTCTCTCTCGCTCATCCTCAGCGAATTCTCAAAACAAAGGGAGACGCCGTCAGCATGCAGTCTTCTTTGCCATCGCCACCGCCTCCGCCATGGCTCCTCAACCAGCTTCCGGAAATCGACGAAGCCTTCGCCCAGCGTGGGGGCAGCACGCCGTCGCCAGCCGTCGTGCTTGTCGCTGCGTTGAGCAAACGCACCAACTTCTCTGTCCTCGCCGGCGACCTGCGTAAGCACTTCGACGGTTGGGACTGCGTCGCCGTCGCGTGGCACTCGCGCGTGCTGTCGAACGTTGATGTCGCGGACGCACCTGGTGATGACGGCGCCGCTTTCCTGCGCTCGCGGTGCGTGATTGTGCTGCGCGAGGGCATGAAGTGGGGCAGCCTGGTCAACCTGACACGCGGAGCTATCGCGCGGCGCGGATACGAGCACGTTGCGCTCCTCCTCGACGACGTCAAGCTCGGCGACTCCTTCAACGCGACCGAGCTGATCCACCTGAGCAGGACACACCGCCTCGGCGTGCTCTCGCCGCGCGTCGGTCACGCGACGTACGACCTGATGCAGGGCAAGTACGCCCCCCGCGGCTGGCCGCACTCGGCCGAGCGGGTCGTGAGGCTCACGGCGCTGGAGCAGTACGCCACGCTCTACTCGCGCGCCGCGTGGGGGTGCATGACAAGCCTGATGGACGACGCGGTGAGCCGAGATGGAGCCGACGAGATGGAGCCGAGATGTGGAGCCGACGCGAGATAGAGCCGAGGTGGAGCCGAACAGAGCCGAGCAGCGACACTCGAGGTGTGGACTTGGCGCCACAGGAGTGAGACGCCAACCAGAGACCCGACTCCCGAGGGATCGCCGCCGGGGGACGGGCGAGTTACAGTGGCCACGGCTCAGGTGTCTCTCGCCTCAGGTGCAGAGCACGACGCATTACTAATTGATTACTGGCTTACCACAGGTGCTGCACGAAGCGCGCCACGCCATCGGGTGGGGCTACGACCGCTGCTACGAGCCGCACTGCGCGCTGGCCGCCGGCGGGCAGGCGCTCGTTCCATCGCAGCTCGCGTCGCACTGCGGATCTCGCGGCGCATTGTACACGCACTACCGCCTTGGCGGGCTGGGCGCGCGGCAGGTCAGGGCGATGCAGGGCTGGGTGAGGCAGCGGCACAACCGTTCGTGCGCCCCGTACGCCCTCTCCCCCAACCAGGACTTGGTGAGGCTGCGCAGCGTGTGGCCCCGTACACCCTCTCCCCCAACCGATACGGGCGCCACATGCGCTGCGTGAGCAGATGCCAAAATGAGCTGACGTACGGCTCTATAAGTTTGGGCCCACGCTTTTTAACATACAACTTAAGGAACTATGAGGGCCCACAGCGATCAGCGTCCTATACGTATACCTAATCTACAATATGAGGATTACGGATTCAGACTTCGCTTTAGTGAGGCCAAAGTGAGTTTATGGATGGGTGAGAACGAATGCGCGACACGTGACAAGGAGGCACGCGGACCGACTCGTCGGCGACTCTGCTGCACGCAGTTTCAGAATTTTTCTCAGCGTGAGCGAGACGTGGAAGAGTGCCACCGTCGGGTAGGGCCAAAGATCGACTCGCATGTCGATTTCGACTTGACGGCAGCATGGAGGCATCACGTCTCCATGCTGCCGTCAAGTCAGAGCCAGTCTGCGGCGACCACAGCGCTCACCGCAGGGATATGCGAGCTTTTTCAGAGTCAAGCGATTGCGCGAAATCCCACACTGTGGGCCCCCTAATATAACATAAAACGGTCAACGCCCTCTTTTTTGGTAAAGGCAAACCAGGGGAAGGACCCTCACCGGCGCCTCAGTTGCGCCCTGGGGGTTGTGCGGGCTTGCGGCGCCAGCCCCTCCTGCTCGGCTCCATCCAGCGTGTAGACAAGTGTTGTCATCAACAGACAGAGTAGAAAGAAGAATCTGACCTCGGGGGTCGGGGCCGATGCCGTGGTAGCGTGGTTTTACCTCACACCCATGGTCGCACAGTGTGTGTATCGCGCGCCTTGCGGGGGGGGGGGGGGGGGGAGGAACCCCTTAACCGGCGGCAAGGGGGCGTGTCGCCCCCCCCCCCCCCCCCGGGGGGTCGGGCCGGCTCTCCTAAAGAAAGAAAGAAAGAAAACCGACAACCCAAGGGAGGGATGGGAGGACGGCACGCCGCCACCACACAGGGATTTTAAAGGCCGGCTCTCCTTGGTCGACGAATCGCCGACGTGTTTTTTACTTTGGCGATGGCCGACCCTGACAACTTCCGCGTCCACTCCATCGACCACATCAAGAAGCTTCCCGACGCGGACAAGGCGCGTGCCATCCTCGAGGACTGTGCGCGCCACATCAGGCCGCTGCTACAGGCCCGCCGCTTCCCGCAGCCGCGCTGCTCCGTCCGCAGTGCGTTTGCCAGCGCTCGCGACCGCGCCGCGACCGCCTCGCAGGCACGTCGCTGGCGCGTGCTCAAGCTGTACGAGATCTGCTGTTGCACCGCGGGCGGGAAGAACCTCGGCGTGGGCGGCTTCTGCTGCCCCGCCGGCGACGGCGTCACCTCGCTGCGGATTGCGATCCGGCTCCGCACGCCCGGACACGGGCCGCAGGCGGATGAGTGGGGCGCGCACAGCCTGCGCGACCTCGATCACGCGATGAAGGTGCTCATCCACGAGGTGTCGCACATCGTGCACGGCAACCACTCGGCCGCGTTTTACACGCTGATGGCCGAGCTGACGAGGCAGTACGAGACGTACCTCCAGAAGGGGCAGGTCCTGGACGAGGCGGGCATGCCGCTCACCGGAGGGCGAAAGGCGGACGCCTCTCGCCACAACCCGTCCCTGCGCGAGGCGCGACTCGCCGCCCTCGGGGCGGCCGAGGCGCGCGCGCGGACTGGCGCGATTCTGGGCGGAGGGGGCAGGCTCGGCGGAGGAGGAGTCGGAGTCGGAGGCGGAGGCGGCGGCGGCGGCGGCGGCGGCGGCGGAGGCGGCGGAGGAGGAGGAGGTGGCGGAGGAGGAGGCGGAGGAGGAGGCGGCGGGGCCGTCGGCGGCGGCGGGTCGTCGTCTTCATGGCGGGACGCGGCGCCGGGCTTGATGGCTGCGCGGGCGGCGGAGGAGCGCGCGCGCGCGTGGGACGTGGCGAACGGGCTCGAGGAGCTGGAGCTGGCGGCGGCGAGGGAGGCGCAGGCGGCGGGCGGCGAGGCGGGCGGCGCCGCGGGGAGCAGCGGCGAGGCGAGCGGGGGCAGCAGTGCGCCGCTCGTCTCGCCGGCCGTCCGCTGGGGCTCGCGTGGGCAAGGCAGCTGGCAGAGGGTCGCGTGCCCTGTGTGCGGCTCCGTCTGCAGTGCGGCGAGGCACGGGCCGGCCGACCCGCCGCCGCAAGACCGCGACGAGGCCGGCGGGAGCGGCGGCGGCGAGGACGGCGTCGGTGGCGGCGGCAGCGGCAGCGGTAGCGGCAGCGGCAGCGGTGGCGGCAGCGTCGGTGGCGGCAGCGTCGGTGGCGGCGGCGGAGGAGGCGGCGGAGGAGGAGGCGGGGGAGGCTCGTCGAACGCAGTGATCGACCTG